ATTGGGAATATTTGATGTTAGGGGGTTGGGGGGATTTAATGTAATGTAAGGGGAGGGGATCAGGGCTATCCCCCTCTCCAGATGTAAGGGGTTTTAGAGCAGTTAGGTGGCCCCTTATGTCAAGTCTGGTTTAGGTTGAGCCCTTATGTCAAGTCTGCTATTGGGTCTGGGCAGAACCACAACATTCAATTCGGGTGAATTTCTTTTCATCAACTGTATTAGTCGCTGGCGTGAAGCCCTCACCTACCAGGGCTCAGGGTTTAAAGGGTTCAGGGTTCGGGGCATCACCTAGGATAGGTCAGCCACTGGATTTAAGATTTGCGTGTTATAGAGGACGGTGCAAGATTTTTTTTTTTCGTGACCCCATTGTAAACTTTACGCCGTTACCTTGCTGTAAAGGTTTCGCACAATCCGCTGAAGCAGCTGAATCTTACTGCATCTCCATTCCGATCCTTGCGGATTCTATTTGCAGAAGGAGCCGTGGCTCTTCAGTTGTCTTTCTTCTTTCGCGCTTTGGAAAGAGGATATGAATTGAATGCATGATTGGAAAGTCTAGGGTTCACCGTCTGTACAGCTTGCGATTCGCAAATAAGCTTTAGGGCTATTTCTTTTCACAGGCAGATTTTAGTGGCCCAAGCCCTAGACTCGGGACCCTATTTTAGTTATATCATAGGTAGTGATAGGGTCCTTTTTTGGGTTGGGGTAACTAAGTTCATCTTTAGGACCAGGTATTGGGGACCGCCTAGCATTGGGCAGGAACATTTTGTCACCTCGGGTGGATGCCCCTCACTTACGAACCCAGCAGGTCTTATACGAGCACAATACACCTGAAACCCAAAGCCTAAAACCCTAAGCCTTAAGCCTAAGCCCCAAACCCTGAACATGGGATTCGTGTTGAAGTCTTAGGGTTGAACCCAGAAACCCTAAGCCCCCTTTCGGGTTTAGGGTTTAGGGTTTATAACCCTACAATCTATAGGGTTTAGGGTACTTTCTTCGTCTTCCTTTGGCATCGTCTCCAGCCCTAGGCCCTACACCCGCCGACCCCATAGCGTGGACCCCAACACCAAAGTAGTTAAGGTTTAGCACCAAAGCAGTTGAGGTTTAGGTTTAGGTTTAGGGTCCGGAAGAGAGTCCCAACATAGACACTGCTTTTGGAACATGTGTTTTGTAGTCATTGATCCACATGGGCAGGGCCAACTCTCAAAGGTTTACATGGTTAGTAGGGAATAAGGGAATATATTGGGATTATAGAGGGATAATGGCGAAAAGGGAAACTGCTATATTATAATAGGGTATATATTGGGGTTATGTAGGGAATACGGGTGTGTTATACATGCCGGGTGGCCCAGGAGTTCATCTTCAAGATTTTCCCGGCATTCAGGGGCTCACGCACTTGGCCCGCCTGGGGCTGGGAGGCAACGAACTCCGGGAACTGCCCCTGACTGCGGCTAGACACTGCCAATGTGGAAGAACACGGGAGGTTTGGTGGCTTCGGAGTATATAGAGGGTTGGGGCTTCATTCGTGGGGAGCTGCTTCATTTTGCTTCGGGTTTATATGCTCAATGGCAGGCTATGGTAGTCCAGGCTGGGTATGAGATAGATCAGGTTACACCTTGATGGTCTGCACGAATCTGAAACTGCGACTGCAAGATCCTAAGGGGGAATGGTTCAAAGATGGCATGTCCGTAATAGTCCGCAACATTTGCCCTGATCACCCGAGTCCTCCCTTGTGAGCTAGTGTTCCCTCCAAGGCAAACCTCAGCTTCCCCCAAACTCAGCCCCCCAAACCCTAAACCCCTCAGCTCCTCTAAACCCTACCTGTAACCCCAATTACCTAGAGCTAAGTACTAATTACTCCTTATAATTTGCAGCTATCATTCGGTATAACCCGCAAAATCTGTAGGTATTGGGGTTACAGATGGTTACAGGTAAGCCCTAATTACTGGGTTGCTGTTAAGNNAATCCCTATATTCCCTCAGTTTCCATTTCATTTTCCATTTTCTTTTCCATTTGATTCTCCATTATAGGGGGATAATATAGTGACCCTAATTAAGGACCTGGGAGTAAAAGCTCAGGAAGCCGCACGACTCGAGACGCTGCTTTTGACTCCAAACCTGTTGGAGGAATTATCGCTCTCACAGTTTCCTGAGCTCAGGAGAAGCAGGGATTAGGGCTTAGGGTTTGGTTTAGGGTCGGAACCCTAAACCTCCAAACTCTCAGCCCTGAGCCTGAGCGCCCACCTTTGCGTCCTGAAGCTTGCGCTGCAAGGGTTCAGGGTTTACTCTGGAAGCCAAAAGTAGCCGTGTTCCTCATGACCGCCGCTCCCATTCTCAGTCATTTATGGAATGCCGAACAAGATCCCCCTACTTCCCACCCAAGGTTCCGTAGAACCCATATCTCATACTCCATTTGATCACACATGGCCTCCAAAGCTCCAGTCATGACAGTGAGGAGGGCGTCCTACAATAATGGATTAGGTATAGCCCCCTTAAGTAGATAGAATATGGCTTTGGGTACCTTATGATAAGATCCCAATATACCCTGTATTCTATCTATTTCTATCTACTTAAGAGGACTATACGTTTTGACGGTTTGGGGCTTGAAGTGCCCTTCTCCATGGCATGCCACCCTTCGTGTTTCTTGCTGTAGTACTTGAACTTGCTACCTGTCTTGGATCAGGCCCCTTAATCCCTAAGCCCTAGTGTCCTTGGGCGGTTGCTCCTTGGGCTATCGGGATCCAAAAATCACCGCGCCCCTGCTATATCCTGATGGGTAGGATGCGTAATCCCTTCCCCCCGAAAACATCCCCCCACCAACACCCTGTTGATGACCCCCCTTCAAAACCCTAAACCCTAATTAGGGGGTACCTTTGTCATTTTTAGGGGGCGAACCCCTGCTAAAGTTTTAGCGACCTCACCCGACCTCACCCCACCATTTGGGCTATGTAGAAAATAATCGGGTTCTGAAATTACGAAAAGTCGCAAAGTTAACCTGAAACCCTACGCCCTGAGAGGAAAGTGGAAGCCAACAATAACCGCTTACGATCCATTCATGGTGCCTGGGTCGCAACCCCCTTACACAGGGTCAAGGGTTTAGGGGTGTAAATATGTAGAGTAATATACGGAACGGAGAACAAGGAAGCTACTACTTAAGAGCCTCCGGCTCAGTCCGCCGACCCAGTGGCGGAGAAAGCACGAAAGCCTAAACGCGAAACCTTGAGGGTTTTCAGCGGCTGGCACGAGACCAATAGATAGGCGCAACAAGAC